CAAGCATAGTGTGTGCCTTTTTTGTGGTGCCTCTGGTCTTCACCAGGTATATTGCTTAGAATTTGGTCTATCTGAGCATGCAATTATGTAAGCAAAACCAAAAGGACTGTACTTGAAACATTCACATAACGACTCATTTGAGAATTTGGAATGTTGATTTCCTGGACCAGCGGCTTATATGTCAACATTTTCACTAATTTAGCCTCAAATTATTTGCACCATAAATTGTGACTGGTTTCCTTAAGCTGATTATACAGAGGCAGGCCTAATGTGGCCTAATGCTTGGCTTTCCAAGGCCTGGGGGTAAATGTAGTTGCTAATATTATTCTTTCGTTTTGTTTCGAGAGGGGCATTGGCAAGGTGTGTAGAGTAGGAGTTTGAGGGGAGAGGATGACCATTGTCAACTGTCTTCTGTGCTCACTGAACTAAGATGTGATGTCCCTCCTCCAGCCCCAGCTACATGGAGGTGGGGTGGTTCTGACTTGCATAGAAGGTTGCCCAGGACCGATTTGGACTAGTCCATATGAGTTTCCAGGCTACCTATTGATGAAGAACTTCTAAGCATGACACTGTATCATTATGGTCCAATATATTGAGAGGCTGCAAGTCTCATCCAGTTGCAAACATCCTTAGATTTCAGGGGGAACAAAGTGAGCAGCATTACAGAAAAGGAAGAATGAAAAATATTCCATTTCTTTTCAGCCTACTGCCAGGTTTCTGTCTCTTGTTCCTTTTAAGATTTTTGTACATGATCCAGTACTTAATTTTTGGATGGGTTGTCGTGAGACCCAAAGTATTAGAAAAGGATGAGAAATTGTTGATGCTGTATCGAGCAGGGGCTACCAAGCACTTCCACCCAACCCTACAAATTGGCTGCCTCCCCAGGGAAGATAGGCATAGCATCTTCTTGTCTGGAGCTCCGGCTCCTTCTGGCTGGCTCTGGTCTGGTTCTGGTCTGGAGCTCCAGCTCTGGGCAGGCTTCCTGGAGGAGTTTCTCTTTCCAGACTGTTTGATAGTCGTGACAGCACAGTGGCAACGCAGAATAAAATGTGAACTTGCCCTTGGCAGAATTACAGTTCTGTTTCTGAGTTTTCCTTCGTGATCCACCAAGCAGAATAGACCCAGACTTCCGATAGAAATCTGTACAACAAAGAAACGCAATGAATACTTGTTGTAGCATTTGGGTCCGTAGACCAATGGATGGAACGCTCTGGAAAAGGGATTCAAGATTTTAAATGTCGATTACTACAAGTACATTCTTTAAGTAAAATAAATAAATAAATAAATAAATAAATAAATAAATAAATAAATGCGTGCATATTTAAAATTCGTAGTTTTCAGTCCTCTCCTAAAGACCTCCAAATCTCAAATTGGTAATAAACTATGGAACTATAAAAGTTTCTACAGTTTTTCCCTCAATGCATCTCTGGAAATCTTCTTGAGAAGCAAATCATCGTAAAGTTGCTCATATTTTCCTATAGGGACAGTGGCATAATTGGGAGCTGAGATACTAAGGATTTGGAGTAAAATAAATCATAAATACGGCCACCAATCTACCATGAATGCAAAGCTGTAACTGCTATAAACCTCAGTGATCTCTTAACGTTTTAAAATTATGTTCTAAGTCACAGAGGCCTATAATTTTATGACTGCAAGGGACCTCAGTGATTATCTTGTCCAGCCTACAATTTGGAGATAAGGAAATTTAAATCAAAGGAGATTAAGTGATTTGCTTAATTTAGTTAGAAGCAGAGCCAGGACCTGGTCGCCTTCTCCCTCCCTCTGCTAAGTCCTTCCTTGACAATACCCCACAAATTAAACATGTAAATACTGGTGAGAAAGGAGTAAAAATATGCATAGAGGAGGCAGAAAAGTGACTTTATCATCAATATGACCAAATATTAGTATTTTTATTATAATAAGATATGAACTTGACATCTATTTAATAATTTTCTTAGCCTCTTTAGAACTTAGGAGAATATTTTAGGGGACGCGAACCTACAGTGGTAGTTCAGAAATTGTCACAGACAACACGCAGGAGCTTGGGTGGGACAGTGTTCCAGGCCATCTGCTTATGGACAATGGAATTTGAATTTCATATAGTTTTCATATTTTTTGTGGGTCACAAAATGTTGTTCTTCTGATTTTTTTCCCCCCAACCATTTAAAAATATAAAAACCGCTCTTTTCTTCAGCCATACAAAAAACAGGTGGAGGGCCAAATCCAGCCTGGGGTTTGCTAACCTGTCTTAGTGGGGAAAAGGGGTGAGGGGCTCAAGTTAAAAAGGCCTAGTTTCGATTTTTTTTCATGCCTTGAGATTGTTATTTAATTTAGCTGTGTCTTAGTCTGACCATCTGTAAATGTGGGTGATACCAGCTACTTCACAGGAAGGCTGTGAGGACCGAGTGGGTTAACACACTGAGGGCCCAGCATGGAGTCAGCATGGCAGCTGCTGAATACATGTTAGTTTCCTTTGCCGCCTTTTTACTTCCCAACCCCCATGCAAGTACACACAATGCACACACACACACACACACACACACACACATTCATACCTTTTGTAAGTTCATTTCCTTCCTTCCTATTCCTTTCCTTCTTCCTTTTCCAACTTAACCCATGGCATTAAAGTACGTGGGGCTTACACAAGACCCAGTTGTGATGGCTGGAAAATCAGTATTCTCTATAATACGGACCATTTGTTTTCCCTTTGCTATTTTCAGCCCTTAAAAGAGAAATAGAAACAATGACAACAAAGCACAAACAAAACCCTGAATCTTCAGGAGTCCAAATGTAGGAAACAACAGCTAGGTGGACGTGCATGGTTCATTGAGGCAAGAACAAGAAAGCTTTCACAAACTCATATTGTATCAAGGTAGATGTATTTCAATTTGCTGATGGAGTCAGAGCCCAGAACCTTCTTCAGCTGTCAGGAGTTATCGCTGTGCTGCAAGGTCTGGTCCAGTTCATGTGGCCATTTCTCAGGCCTTGGCTCAGGGCCCACCTTAAGTGGCTTCCAAGGGGCCAGGGAAATCTCACTCATGATGAATGTGTACACTGTCCGAGCAGGGAGGAGTTCCCATAAAGCCTAGCGCATGGCTGACACCAAAGTGCCCCAGACCTTCTTCTGATCCATGGACAACTCTGAAGGGGATACAAAGTCACACAAGGGCAACTGGATGGATTTGTAGGAAGAGAGGGGATGCCATTTTTCTCCACATAAAGGCCAATGGGAAGCTGAGACAGGGGAGAGACAGTGGGTAAATATTATAAACACTTACCTCTGTAATCAGACTTCCAAAAACCCGTTAGAAAAGTTGTCAATCTCTTCCTGTCTTTCTGCATCACTGCTATGGAAACAGGGGACAGAATGGGGTTCTTCCATTCAGCTTTTCATCCATTGACCGGTTATTGAGGACCAGGCACCATGGCAGGTGCTGAGAATTCCTAAGCTAAAGCAAACATTCCTGCTCTAAAGGACCTTGGTCTAATGATGCTGCAGTGGGCAATAGACGAGAAAGTGAACGTTTCCATGCCCTGTGATAAGTGACATGACACTGGGCTCCTGGAGCTCCTAAGAGAATCTGCTAGCCTCGTCTACAGTGGACAGGGAAGGCTAGTCACAGGAAATGACACGTAAGCTGAGGTCATAAGGCTGAGTACTATCCTGCGAGGCAAAGGGAGGATTCGAAGGGGCAGAGAGAGAAGAAGGAGGGAGAGAGAGGCATCCACAACAGCTGCCATCATGTGGGTGCTTACTATATGCCAGGCATCATTCTGAGATGTTTATGTGTATCACCTCGATTATGAGGTGGTTATTATGATGATACCCTTGTTACGTGATAAATCAGAGAGGTTAGGTAACCAGCTCAGGGTCCACAGCTAATAAGTGGCAGGCAAAGCTGGGAATCAAACCAGGCATTCTGGTCCCAAAGCCTCCACTCTGAACCACTACACAGAGAAACAGCAAGAGAGAGGATGGGGTGTTCAGAAGTAACTCCGAGTAATCTCGTATGGTTGAACGGGGACACACCTGTGAAGTAGATGTATCGAAAAGTGAACACTCTTCACTTAGAGCTAAACTGTGTGCGGAGATGTGCTCTCAACTTATTCTTATCATAGTACACACACACAGAGCCAGGTGGAGGTGCTGGATAGAATTTGGGGGCATCTCTATGATGTTTGATGAAAATTTAGTTACATTTTCTTTATATTATGTAATTATGACAAAAATAAAAAGTATTAAAGGGCCTAGATGTCCATCAACAGATGAATGGATAAAGACGTGGTATATATACACAATGGAATATTATGCAACCATCAAAAAATGAAATCTTGCCATTTGCAATGACGTGGATGGAACTAGAGGGTATTAAAAGCTAAGCGAAATAATCACAGAAAGACAAGTATCGTATGATCTCACTGATATGAGGAATTTGAGAAACAAGACAGAGGATCATAGGGGAAGGGAGGGAAAAATGAAACAAGACAAAACCAGAGAGGGAGACAAACCATAAGAGACTCTTAATCTCAGGAAACAAACTGAGGGTTGCTGGAGTGGTGGGGGGTTGGGAGGGATGGGGTGGCTGG